TGCCTACGGTTACACATAAGCCGGTCGCATCTACGGGTAAACGTGTCGGAGGCTACCTCTAAATCTTGGAGTATGCGCCAAGTCTTCGGATCATTCCTTCTTGGCGTTCTTGGGTTGACGATCTTGGGGGGGGGGGGGTACTCGGCCCAGCCCAAAAGGCTAGCAATCGACGTGCAGAGCACCCCTAATCTAGGACTCTGTCATATGAATCACTTGGCAGTGGCAGGAGGCATTAATTTCTCTCAACTCTCGCTTCCTAGGGAGCTCGGGTTTTCCAACTCCACTACTCCTTCATTTTTGCACTGCGCTAATAGCCAGCCTCTCACTCCCATAGCCAGAATTTGAACCGTTTGGCTGGGCTCCCGACCTGGAGTTAAGAAGTTGAGGAGCGCGAGGGCTACTGAACACGCCCGTCAGGCCAGCCCAACCCGGCCTTTTTATTCAGGGGCCGACACGCAGCCCAAGTCAGCCCTTTTAGCACTGTTTTGAACTTTTTAGTACTACTTTGACTTCTTTAGGTCTTTTTGGTCTTTCTTTTACCTAAAAAACAAAGGCGAAAACGAGCAACAAAGCCAAAAGTCAACTCGGGCCTGCCATTTTAGCTTGTGCACCCGACCAATCTGCGAGGAACCCTTCTTATGATTGTGTCGTGTCGTGCCAGGGCTTTTTATGGTTGGGTTGGGCCGGCCGTATGGCCAGGTTTAATGCAGAGGCACCCTGATACCTCAATGTTTCCTCCAAAGTGTAAACTCTAGCATTAGTTAGCGGCTTAGGAAGTTTTTTTTTCCGAATCTTTATGAGGGGAGCGGCTTAGGGGATGTTTGGTTAGGTTTAACTTGGACTGTTGCACTTCGACTTATAAATAAAATAACATAAACAAAAGACAACCATTTATGGGTTTTTGACTTTAGGGACTTTTTCGGCTTCTAAGCCGAAGTGCAAAAGCCAAATCTCATTGAGGCTCTCTCTCCACGCGTCTTTGTCGTGGAGAGAGTGCGAATCTGAATTGCCATATCAAGTTCGGCTACTGTTGATCAGCTTGGGGAGTTCCAAAGGTGGACAAGTAAAAGTAACTAGTGGTTGGAGCGCCACCAGGTGGCGCCGCTTGAGGCGTGCATGTGCGGTGGCAGATAGGTGGCCACACTTTTCATTCACTTTTTGTCGCTATGATTAGAACATGTACATGGAACTGCCGGTCAACTCATGTGGACTTTGATTACTTACAGGACCAACAAAAATGCATTACTTGCAATGTACATTTATAAAATAAATCGGAAATATTATTAATAGGTAGGCTTATATGAACATAGAGTAGCAGTCTTACATCCTACAAAGACTTATACCTATAGAGATGATGGACTGCAGAGCCTAAATTTTCTAAACTCAAGCATCCACAAAATGAAATCATCTCATGATGATGATGAATGATAACCACTAAACATAACTATTCGACTAAAATTTTAATTATGAAAGAGATGACAGCAGGCCGATGATCTGAACTACAACCGAGGAGTTCTTTCCTCCCTCTTTCTCTAAATTACATGTCTGCAAATAAGTTTCAGAACAACAGGGATGGCATGGAATTCCAGTGAATGAAAATGAATAAATTATGGCTGACATCTCTGTTTCACCTTCGAAGCTGTATCTCACAAGTTGACTATAACCATTCTAGATGCTCATAATCTTTGGAAGTCCATCAAGCTTTGCAGCATGTACAAACTGCATTACTCCGTACGTGGTTTCATTGGAAACACCGATATATTGTACCTAGATTAGAAGAGACAAACATGGAATTATATACTGGTTTATGGTTACCTGTCTGCTATCTTCGGCTGTCTTATGCATATACTCTGAGTGAATTATTCAAATGTGCGTTTATGAACACAACAATCATATGTTCATAATCTAGAATAAATCTAGGCTATTATTACAACGAAAATGCACATGGTTTTTAAAGAGTGTGCAAAATACATGCACCAAATCCTTTGGAAAGATAGATCCATACTAAGATTTGTGTTCAATTAATAATTATCTGGTTGTTGTTTCTAAAATAAAATTATACTCCCTCCGTCCCATAATATAAGAGCGTTTTTTACACTAGTGTAGTGTCAAAAAACGCTCTTATATTATGGGACAGAGGGAGTATTACACTATTACCTTCCCTTTACCAATTAGTTCCTGAAAGCTTTCCATTGATCCACACATGGGACGCTTGGCCTCCATTTGGTTGAATTGTAACTGAATTCACCGTAACGTGCGACATACCTATCTAGCCTGAAGACATAAAGCAAACTTTGGAGCCAAAGTTGTCTTTTTTGTCAAATAAAATAATAATGATGACATATTAATACAAACAAAGTATGAAAAATTCTATGTGAAAAATGAAAGAATTAACATGAAGAATGTGTGCTGAAAACAGTCTGTATAAGACGACAAAAGGACTCACAGAGGATGGAAAAGAGAACTCAGATTTACAATTTTCAAGTTCAGTAAGGAAATGCAAAATGTGAAATATGATTGTGTATGAATCAATCTGGAACAAGATGTGAAAATTATTCTGAGCAAAAATAATCTTTGAAATAAACACTACCTAGTGTATGTAAAGAAAATCAGTGTAGTCTTTAGATAAGCATGAAAGGCTCTTTTCGACACTTTCCTTTATAATGGGATCATCAACACACACCTTTCTGCATTGTACCGATGAAAAGTGTGATCTGAATAACCAGAAATTTTGGTGGCTAAAGTTGTCTAGTCGGAAATATAGTGAGCTGGGAACGACAAATGGATTCAGAAGCATGCTATCTGAAGTGGGAATCGGGGAACTCCAAATGGATTAGAAAACTGCAAATAAATTATAAGGCCGGTTTAGGGTACTTTGTCTCGTGGCTTGGATTTCATCCACCTGCCTACATATAGATCAGTCCTCCCTTGAGTCTCCTTGGGTTGCATTTGGTAGTAACAACCAATAGAAGTGGAGTATTTCAATTAAAACTGGGATCAACTTCAGAAAATAAGACGGTGGTCGAAGGGAAGGAAGGAATGTGTACCGGCAATTTCTGCGGTGTCCAGTATGTTGATGCCCTGATTAAAAGAATAAGAGAGCATATCATGGGATTCCTTCTCTGTTCTTTGCTATCCAAAGATCATCTAAGAGAAGTAAACATTAGACCAAGATGTAAAAAAACTGGACCAACAACAACAACAGAAACATGAAGGTTCAGCTCTGCACATACTGTTCCAAGAGTTATCTCGCTAATAAGGAGATCTGAATCTCCCAGCTTCTTGTACGGCAACTTCGCTGCTTCTGGCTGCGGACACGTCTCGGGTGCCATCTTCTGGAATGTTGGGCACTCAACCCTTGGTAAGTATGAGGAGATTGCAGCAAACGCAAATAGCACCATTTTTCGCGTATACTGTTGTCGAATTTTTTGTTGTTGCATATACTGAAACCCTGTTCTTGCACATTCCAACAAACATATCAAGAAGAAAAAAATCAATGCGTGAAATGATGCAAAAAATCAGTTTTTGTTTCGTAGATGCCTAAATTCATCTTTACTCGAGGAAATTCTAGCAAATTAGCCTAGTAATTAGCCACATGCAGCAAAGAAACACCAGTATGCAGTCACTTTAGTCTGCGAAATGTTCAAAAGTTTGGAGAAAATACCATTGTCTTTGCAAAAAGAAACTATCAAGAGGCAAGAACTGGTTACTACAGAGTACAGACTGAAATCTTCATCAACATCACAACAATGCGGATGCTTATAAACTAATATACCAATAAATCCAATCTATTTGGTCTAGAACATGACGAGTGGAGAATGAAAGAGCAAAAGAATCAATCTCACCCGACAGAGTCGAGGATGTCGTTGGAGATCTTGGCGGCTCCCTTGTGCAGGTCTCCCAGGCTGTAGGCCGCTGCCGCTTGATCACTGGTGTCTCCCCTGACCCCGCAGAAAAGCCTCAACAAAGTCTTGGTTTGCAAGCACATCACAAGAAAATTTATAGACGACCCCAACTGACTCCACTCAGAACTGGGTAATTAAGAGAGGGCCTCAATAGCTGGCAGCTTCATGCAAGGCTGAAAAACGAGAACAAATTCAAATGTGTACGAGTCAGAGAGCAATGAATGGATGATGGACTCACCATCAAGTTGCAGTTGCAGAGACTGAGCACCGTATCGAGGGCTCCGTACATAGCTGGCGCGGGCCCGAGGTTGGATCTGATGAGTCGTGCAAGGACAACGGCAACGTCTCCGATGCTCTGCATCGGACCCAACGCCCTGACAGAACGCAACGCCTTCAGTGTACTGACGACCTGCATCTCCACCCCATGTTGTCTCTTTGCTGCCATCACGGAGAATCCCATGATCCTAGATGCCCGAAAGGACAATGGTATGAAATTTTCAAAACAGGACTAAGCACTACATGATGTTGTGGTTACCAAATGACATTACTTACAAGTTAATGCACTGCAAAAATTAGTACACTTTTTCACAGTAGTACAGCTTGCATTTGACGAGAACCCATACGTCTTCCTACAAAATGGTCAGCTTTAACCATAGAAATGATAACTATATCAAACATGACTCATGCCCACTAGACCATTACATAACACATAATGGCAGCCATAGTGCTGAACTTCATCACACTGGTAAAGCACAAAGACAACAAGGTCTTCAGTAAAATCTAACAGGCACATAAGACCAAGAAATGTTTAGAGGCTTTAGAATTTAGCACATATGGGATTTAATAAACAAATTACCTTATATTTTGGACAGAAAATCAAGGAGAGGAGGGATATGTAGTCCCTGACTCCCAACCGCCTTGTCCCTTTCAGGCTGCAGGGAAAAAGCATTCGAAAGATCAGCACATACCACCATTCAACCACGCACACTAGCGCAAGCACAACATGCGCACACAACGACAGCTAGCACACACGCATGCCACCGGCAGCACGCGCAGCACAGAGGCATGCCCGCTCCACACCACGCCCAGCTGCAACTACCAACGCCGCCAAGATGTCCGCAACTTTTGCTCCAATGGTAGAGAGAGGATTGGAAGGAGAGAGGGCCGCCGCACAATCACCTTCGATTTGCAACCACCGCAGATGGCCTTCAGCGTGACGACGGCGGGGTGGCCCGAGAGGTGTTGCATGATCTCGACCTCGCGGTGGACCGTGTCCTCGACGTTCTTGGGGATATACCAAGAAACAGTGGTATAAGTGTATAACAGAGCAATGCGGCTATCATGAGAAGCATAAAGAGATGAAGGCATCACAACTCATGGAAGATGAAATGAATATTGGAGTTATTTATTTCACAAGGAAAACAGTAATAAATATCAAATGGCAAAACACATCGCATATATTTGAGCAATAGCACTCTGGCTGTTTATTTTCAGTAGTCATTCACACATTTAGGCAAGGCCGCAAGGCACATTAGGGGCTGATCAGGTGAGCTAAACATATACAAATAAAAACATTGCCAGAGTGGATAAAGGGCCACATGTTAGAGATGAGTCAATACAAAAATTAAACAAGTTCTGGCAGAATAACTGCACTGACAAGAGCATGCAATATTACTTGGCAAGTGTAAACTTCAAATGGCATGTAAAATCAACAATCACTTCCAAATTCGTACAAGTTGTAAAGGCTAGTTATATATGCAATCGAAGTGAAGGGACTTTAGGATGCGAATCACAACCAAGTTATTAGCAACAAAGCAAAACAAAGTTACCGAGTTACAGTAAAAGCTAACAAAAACTATCAAAAATTCGCATCAAGAATATGATATCCATGCAGTTACAATTCTACTTGGAACTATACAGAAGTCCACACCTTGAACAGCTCAAATCTACAGCCAAGGGAGGGACACGCAGAGAAGAAATTCTAAACTAAACATGAGCACGATCTCAATCACTACGTCCATAAAGGCTCCTCCGCCGCAGCAGATCGAGAATGACAGGAGGAAGCAGGGAAGGGGATCAAACTCACCCTGTTCTGGTCAACAACGTCGACGATGACGACGAGGCGGCCGTAGTCCTTGCCGTAGTTCACCAGGGCCACCCACCCGATCAGCACGAACCTCTTGAACGGTTGTACGAGCACAAAAACAAGGCAACCATGGTCAACAACCAAGACCACCAGAGAGAAGGCGACAGAAAAGGCCTAACGGCGAGTTGGATTTCACAGGTCTTCCTACCATAGATCCGAACGGAGCCGAACTTGCCATGTCCGATCTCGTTGCCGAGCTCGTGGTAGGAGACGATGATAGGGTTGGGATCTTTGGACGGTTGGAGACGCAGAGCAAATCGACTGAGGCTGCGAGCTGGGATGGTGCCGAAGGCGGCAGCGGCACGACCACCATCACCAATTAGCAAGTATCCATTGTTGTTGTGCCATGACCATGAATCAATCACAAGGTTTTTCTTTTGTGACTAGCACTGCTAGGCTGCTAGCTGTACGTGTCCATCCATCCATGCGTCTACCAAACAATTATATCATCTTAAGAGAACTCGAGGAACTGTCAACATGCATCAGTTTTATTGGACAGCTTCTCCTTCTATGTATGCTTTATCTATTCGTGTGACTGCTGTGTTCATCAACATCAACAGCAAGAAAAAGCTGCTGCCAAAGGTAAGTGTGCCTCTCTGAACCTTGATTTGCTTTAGGTTGTATATATATCTAGTTAAACTCTGATCTTAGGTTACGTACATGTCTTCCTACCAAAAGCTAACAATTAGTGATGTTTTTCAGATAGAGGTGTTAATGTTCTTTCTGCTGCTGCTGTCCTTTGTGACCCCATCACCAAGGCTCTCTTGGCAGGATTCCTTGCTATGCGTAAATAACAATGGCAATTCCTAAAGTGTCAACGTTTCCTACTCTCTAATAACAGAAAAAAGCAAGAAACGCTGGGATTTATCATCACGAACAGCAAGAGTTGATGGAGTAGGAGAGATACATGCTGCGGGGAGGGGAAGAAGGACCTTGACGCACTCCAGGGGAGGGATGGGAGCTCCATGGCGGCTTGAAGGTGTTGGTTCTCGTCAGCCCTTAGGGGGCGGTGGTCCTTGTTCTCCTCCTCCGTCGTCGTCGGGATACTCTAGGCAACATCACCAACTTGACGAAGAGCCTGCGAAATCGAATCCAAACAAATGAGGGGAAGATAAAGGGGGGAGGGGACCTTGTGGATGGGCTCCATGGATTGGCTTGGGCACCATGGAGGGGAGGTGCTGCTTACCCGAGCTAGGAGGTCGCCGTCGTACACGACGTGGAGCACACCGGCGAAGACCACAGCGACAAAGGCACCTTCTTCCGTCGAGCTCGACCATGTGCGGGGTGTCGTCGTCCTCGTCCTGCTGCTCCGAATCGAACGAACAGGTAAGGGATCGAGGAGAAGAGGAGAGGGTCTGGATCGATGGAAGGCAGGCAGAGCTCACCTCGGTGGTCGCCGCGGATCCGTGGGGGTCACCTGGGGCGCGCAGCGGAGGAGCGCCGGCGACCTGCTGCGGCCAGGGTTCTCCATCGGGACGCCGTCGCCGTACATCTCAAGGTGGACGGGAAGCCGTCGCGGGTGGAAGATGAGAGAAGGTCGCGGGCGGGCGACGCGATGGGTGGCGGCGATGAATGGGCGGTCGTATCTGGCGAAGGTGGGGAGGAGGTGGCGTGCGTCCTCTCTCTGTCTTCTCGAGGAAGGAAACGACCACGCCTTTTTTTTTTCTATGAAGGGAACGTTCCCTTCCAATTGGCCAGCACGAACAGTACCACCCTGCCGACGTGGACACAACCAGAGATCGCTCATTGCGCGACGATAGATGGGTTGGATGTGTTAGGAATTAATTAATTAGGTTAATTAACTATTAATCACTGCTATGTCGGTGCCACTTTTGGCAACTGCCTCCTTTTGTAACCGCCTTGTAAACTGGGTATAAATACCCCAATCTTCAATCAATAGAATAACTGTTCATTCATATATCTGTTTTCCATTCGCTCCTCTCTCTCGATTCTCTCTAACACGTTATCAGCACTTTTGCTCTCCGCTGAGAAATGGCCACAGGAGAAGAGAAGAATGCCGCCGATTCGATTAGCCATATTCCCGTCCACAGCAGTAATCAATGGACATGCTTCTGAAGAAATTCTCAATCAAGAAGAATAGAAGAATCTGCATCAAGAACAAGAGAAAAGAAGGGAAGAAGCCCCAGCGAGCGTACCTCGGCGTTTGGCGACGACGGCGTCCTCCACCTCTCGGATGCAGCATTCGACGCGGCTGGTCGTGCTACCGGTGCCGCCGCGGTGGAGATCGCCGTTCTAGGCGCCGGCCATTGGTTACCCCGAGGACACGCCGCCTGTACTGGAGGGTACAGCAACGTCGACGCAGCGGCCGAGGACGCAGCGACGCCAGGCAGCGCCCTCTGGCGCGCGGCGTTGGACGAGCAAGCCCTCTGGCGCCACCCGCCCACCCCCGGTCTCTCCTTCTCCCGGTTACACTGGTACGCAGCGGCGGTGCCGGTGCTATATGTGCATACCGAACAAATCGATTGATTCCAGATGCATTGAGGATGACGATAGGAAACCTTATCTCTTCGGCCATTTGAGACTAAGCCCTTCTAGTTTCTTTTATTGGCAAACAAGTCATCAGACTTAATACTACATGAACATAAGTCATCAGGCTTACTGTTTTAGATTTTGGTTAATACCGTAGTATATCATATCGGTTGAGTCCCAAGGCATTGAGCTATGTTGATGGATGGGTCGATCATTACATCTGCAATGGACCCCAATATACTAGTGCTATTCTTTACAATAAGTGCAACAACTATGTTTTGCAATTGATTTTTTTTCTCTTGCAAATCATGATGAAAATTCAAAACAAGGATTATACTTAATATGACTACACCATATTATATTTTGGAATCACAAGGTATTGATGGCATCTACTGCGTAATTTGCAGATTATCCATCAGTACTGTGAGGTCTACATCTTGTCATTTTGATAAGATGACTACCTTCGAAGTGATCTTCCAAATATTAATATTATACGTGACTACCTCAATATATCATAAGGTAATACTGGCATCTACTGCAAATTTTGCAGACTATCCACTATTACTGCAAGGTCTACATCATGTCATTTTGACAGATGACTACCTTCAAAGTGATTTCATACATTTTGCATAACATAAGGTAATAGAATTATGAACATCTACTGACAAAAGTCAGGCTATGTTTTTCTATTACTGCGAGATCTACACCGCATCCGGTGACTATCTTCAAAGTGTTATTCTATATAAATGAAGGTCTACACATATGAGTGTATAGCATCAGCTATCATAAAAAAAATTGCTCCTCTGAAGCAATTGTTGTTGTTCACTAAAAAAAGATATTTACTCTCATAATAAAAGGTATTCATGCATGAACACTACATGCTGAAACGACAAATATTTTCCACAAATATCATTTATTCAAGCCTCATTTTGCTTTAATATGGCATAGACAACTATGCAAATATTTGCACATACCAGTAATTACCTTCTATTACATTGGTAAAATACATGGCAGTGGAGCCTATGTCACTATTTTAATTATAGTGTCGTCCATTCATTAAAATGGATACCACAATTTATAGAAATTGTTGAGTGTCTCAAACACTATTGATAGAACCACATCAAATTGTGGTTATACTTTTATAGTGACTAACCAATGATAAACATGAAAAGTCTATGTGTTTTGGCAGTGACTCTGAAGTCACATATTTTCTCAAGAATGAAGTCCAAAACATTAGCAATGATTTCATCACATCTATTGTATTGAAGGATACACCCAGGTTCACCAAGGATCATCTTGGCCATGAGTATTTTCATGTAACACATGCCTGACATTTCCAAATGCACTAAATTCAAGATTAGGTGGGAGTATTTATTTTAAGATGATTCATGACATCAGTCATTGTGTCCACCCGTGGCCTATTGCCACTACAACTCCACCTTCTGCAATGGCTATTCTCTTGATAGCTAAGTATATATATGTTGCATTTTATATGTCATCAACTTCACTTAGTTCTCAAACTAAGTAATTATGGATGAATATTTATTCACTACAATTTTTCCCTTGAGAGAAACATGCTGCCATGAGCACATCATGATTGATCACCCATTTGATTTCAAAACATCAAGTCTATTGCATCTCACAATTCTGTCACTTTAATCAACTTTAAGTTGAGATCTCGTGATCAAATATTTTCCTATATACAGATCCAGTTGAAAAGCCCTTAATGCACTTTACATCCTCTTAAGATGGTACTACCTTTTTTTATGGTCAAGAAACATGGAATTTCTTAAAATCATCAGATTCACCCAATGGGTGCTATACCATAATTTAAAATTCATGCTAGTATCGAGAATAGTATGCAAGTTAGTTGTCACAAAATAGAACTATGAGGAATTCGAAGTAAAGTGGAGGCTAATAGACAACCAAAGACGGAATTATCTCTTAAGAATCGGTCATTTTCAAATGATCAAAAGACAACTCTCAAGTTTATCAGATGCGTGGTTATATAAATATTGTACCTATGATTACCAAACCCTCAAACATATGGTCGAACCACATCACAAATTTATTAAAAGGCAAATAAGTTCAATGGGATAAATTTGAAAATTTGCAAATAATAACCAGATTCTGGTAAAGAATTGTTCTCAGAATCTTCATCAGAAGGAGGACCAAAATCTAGTGCAGAAAATGGAGGATGAACTCATTTGCACTCAATAATATCGGAGACCTTAGGTAATCTCCTAATTATTCCCAAAAATAGCATTAACCTGTACTTGTACTACTACATGTAGTAGGATATTCAATATCCCATCACTTGGATACAATATTTAATAAATTTGATAGCATGGTTAAATTCATACTTAGTATTGTTGCGTACGAAATAATTTTCTAAATATTAATAAATTAAATGTGTATTTTGATAGACTTATCCATCCTGGTTTGGGGATGATTAGAAAATTATTGACAATTCTGTTGGTCACAACTTAACAAGTTGCAAAATATCCCAAATCATCAGATTTTATGCGCACTAGATGTGCCATAGGGGAAATCAGTTTTAAGGCACTCTCACCTTAAAATTCTAAATGAGCCACTCAATCTTCCTTGAATACATTAAGAAGACATATGTGGATTAGTTAACCATTATGTGGAATTATTTAGATACTTCATGGTACTCATAGGAACATTTATAAAATGATTTCAAGTGTGTCTCTTATCACACACAAACATGCATGATCTTACTAAATAAATTGCTCAAATTATTCGTAGTCCGTACGCTGATTGCATCAGCAATAAGGATATTTTCGGCATTAGGGGGAGATA